ACGTAGATCAACAGCAAGCCAAACTCAATTTCATGAGCCAGGAAGCTGAGCGTCTTGCTCCTTTATTACGTTTTCTTGACAACTTTGAGCAGTGGTGTGGAAAGCTCAATGAAAGGTTGAGTGAAACTATAAGAAACAGAAAAACAAAATATGCATCAGCTCTAAATACATAGAATAAACTTCTACTGTCAGAATACCTGAGCTACAGTTAAGAAACAGTCACGTTAGCAACCGTTGCTATGTAAACAAAAACTACCGGGATATGGCTTTACTGGAATAAACACATTTGGAAAACAATCTCAAAACAAACTAACAAAACATATAACACCAAACAGGACACAGATTTAACTTACAGCCATTGTTTTCGGAGGTGTAAGAAAAGATTGACGACACAGGAGGTGAAGTTTTTACATTAACAGGCAGGCTTTCTCTCTGCGAACACGTATTCCTAACTGCAACTGCCTCTGCTACCCACAATGCACTGCTATCTCAAAATTCTCCTTCAAAATAGAATACAGATAAATTAATACTATAGAACTTTTTAAAACTAATTATTAAGACATTTCCAACTTCCGGCCTGGGGCAGAACAGTTTGAACCCGGCATTCTACTAAAAATTAGCATCAATGCTGAAGTAAGCTACAGTTTAGTCAATAGTTTGTGGAGAATTTCAAGAATGTTCACCAACATGGACTTCTTCCATTCAGTACTCTAAAATTAGTGTATAATCTAAAATCAGGCAAAATGCTAATGTTAGCCTAAAAGCTGTCAGTAGTATTTGTGGTATCAGTAGCATGTTGTTTTACTTTGACTAACTCCATTCAGAATGCTAAACTAGCTAATACATAAAAAACTAGAACATTTCTGAAGAAATTGAAACGGGGCCTGCCAAAGTGTGCCCGTCGGTTGTAACCCAGTGTTCTGATGCTAAAAATTAGCATCAATGCTAAGCTTAGCTTAAGTATAGTCAATAACGTGGAGAATCAAAAGCATGTTGAATAACATGAACATAGTCCATTCAGTATGGATGCTTATTTTAAGGAGAATGGGTAATGCTAGTTAATGGAGGGTCAGTGCACTGCTGACAGCATATGACATCACTAGCAATAGCTTAGGCTATCTTAAAGAGACACCACACAATTACAACTGTTGTACAGTGATCTCTATTGAATACAGTTTTACACTATTTCATTTGATGCCGTTCTTCACAAAAGGGTGAGTGCAAAGGGACATGTGAAAATTTTGTATTAAAATTCTTCCATACACACTAAGCTGTGGTTCAGAAGTCATAACTTCATATTTCCATTCCAGAAAAGGCTTTGAGCACTGGATACTGCTACATTTTATTATGTTACACAATTTTGTTTTGGTTTCTAATTGAGCAGAACACATTCGGTAATAAGTAACGTGAGATAAAAAGTCAACAATAGAATTCTTGTGTTGTACAAATCCATGAGTCATATTTATACACCCGTTGAAAACCCTGGCCGTGGTGTGTGGGGGCCTAAAATGCACCTCAGAGTTGTCCCCAACTCACATTCCAATACCAATATATTACTTTTTTTTTCCATGTGATTTAACAAAGGATGAGTCTAACAAAAACATTTTAAAGCTATAGATGAAGACATATGCTGCACCTTGGATGCTTGTAACATTGCAAAATAATCCATCTTATAAGAAGAAACAGGGATAGAGAGTGAGAGGGAAAAAGAAAGAGAGAGAGAGAGAGAAAGTGTGTGAGAGAGAGAGACTTTGGTGTTGTTAAATGCCCATTTCATTATTGATAAGCATTAGAGGCAGAAGCAAGTCACCCTGTATGATTGACAGCTGACTCTCTGCCTCTGATTTTCCACATGAGAGAGAGTGAGGTGAGTCAACTTATGAAGTATATGATGGTCCAATTTCACTTCAAATAAAGTGGTGAGTTCAAAAACACGAGGAATGTAAATATTTATCGGAGCAAGAAAATGCGAGCTAATGAGAAGTGTGGGAATAAATCTTTCCCTGCAGATATTTGAATGAAGATATGTAAATCAAATGCAAATGTGATAAAATAAAAATAATATGATAAAGATCCAATTAGATGTAAAGAAAGATATAGTCATGTTCACATGTGACAATATGAACAGTGGCAGTGGTTTTTTTTTTATTAAACAAGCGCATCTTAATGTAGTAGTAAACATTGAGGTACGAACTTAGGTTTCCTTGTGCTGGTAGCTAACAGAACACTATCATCATCCAATGGTAACATTTTCACAAAAAAAACGTTGAAAGTTATCTTTCTTTTGAAACTTGTCGTTTCCATTAGATTCACCTTACATTAAAAAAAAAAAAAAAAAAAAAAAAAACAATGCTTGTATCACATTTTCTGTAATAAAAGCCTGTGTTCAAACAGAGTCAGCGTCTAATGCCCAGTGCAAACAAATAAAGACCAGACACTAATAAAAGCTGGAAAACAAACCCTCTCTTCTGTGCTGATAAAAAATCTGGGATGCTGCTCAGGCCTGGTGTCTTTTTAGCAATAAAGAAAAAAAAAACAATGTCAGCATAAGATTCAGACTGGCTACTGGTAATGGCAAGTTAGCTGTGCTTCAGGCTTGAGAATAGTATCAGATGTGCATATTCTCCAAAGTGCATGTATATTAAAATTGTTATTTGCTCAGTCTAGTGCTGCTTCTACTTGTCAAATGACGATCATTTTGTAGAGAACAATCAATGAAATTGCATTACCCCATCTTCTCCCCCAGTCCATAAATAGCCTTATATCTTCACATTTTTCTCATTTTATGCTCAAAATTTTCAGCTACAAAAAGATTACACTCAATTGGGTGTACAATTTATGACCATGTCTGTAATTTAGGTGTGATTGTTTAATTTCAATTCATATGAAGTTACTGGGGTCACAGTTAGCGATTCTTTCACTGCGTAGAGAAAGTTGCAGGTATTCATCTGCTTGATGGCACCATGTGGATTCCCTGTTCTACTTGTTGAATGTTAGTGGGAACAAATGGAAATTAAATGCAATTGAATATGTCATTTTCACTTTAAAATGTGACAGGTAAAAATAGATTATGATGGTGTTTTTTTGGGGGGGGGGTTTTCTATGATTATGTCTGTCAAAATGATGGACAACAAAAACGTCTGGTGGAACCTCTTTGTTTATTACAGCTGAAATTTCATCAGCATAAGACGAAATTATGGTTTTTCATGGCCTGGTTGATTCGCTCAGGACAAGTGGAAGGAAACATGCCTAATTTCCTTTTTTTTTTTTTTTTTTTTGGTGACATTTTAAAGGTTCGCTAAAAAATTTGCATGACAATTGAATGGAAACATGGCTTGTATGTTAAACTGTCATGGCCTTTGTGTCAGGACACCAGCCTCTAATGACAACTTGGGCGTTTGTCAGAGAGACAAAAGGATTTCACAAAGCAGGAGCATTTAACGCCCCTGGGAATCAGACTTGGTTGTAAAGATCTCAGAGCATTTGGACTTTAGAATCCCTTTCCAAATCCCTCTTCTTGGAAGCTGTATTAGAGATATTTGTTATCCTCTATTTCCCCACAAATATAACCTTCTTTGCCAGTGATAAAATTTGACTATATTCTCTTTAAACTGCATACGTCTGTTTCCTGTTTCATTTTTTCCTGTAATCATTTTATGTTAATACAAAATAGCATTACACTAGACCACTAAAACACCAGTCAGATAAATAGATCCAAAACCTGTACAATATGACATTCATATTTTACAGATTTTATGGTCAATATAAGTTACTTTACCAAAAAAAATGCCCATAATGAAATTAGGGCAGTGAAAATTTAACTTTTTTTTTTTCTTCTTCTTTTTTAGGTACATATACACACAGCAAGAACCACTTTAGATTATACAGCCTGAAGTGGGCCAGCTGGCATGAACCTAACCAAGTTAAATTTATGTCAAACTACTTCTCAAATATTATTTTTTCACATTCCAAAAGGTATCTCTGTTGGAGAGGACTTTCCTTTTTTTTTTTTTTTTTTATCCCGCCTTGTGAAAATTTAACTTCCTCATTCATGCATAATGCCTCTGCAATAATAATAACAATAATAACAAAATCAACATGGACGTACGAATAGACAGCCAAGTCAGACTTCCGTTTGATATAAACGAACAACGAAGCATTGTCAAGGCCATTCACGAGTGGTTATAGATGATTTCACATGTGATGAGTATTGCAGGTTTGTCTCCCCGCATCTGTTCGCCCAAACTTTAACCTGACCCGAAGCTGCTTCTGACTCCAAAGAACCCATACTGGGACTAGATGAAAACACGTCTACGTCTGCAGCGCTGACCTTTTTCCTCAAAACTTTCTGGTAGCAACAAAACCAACTGCTGAAGAGATTGGAATCTCCTTGAAGCGTCTCAGGTGCACGGTTGAATGTTTCTGATCTTACTGAGCAAGAGCGGGTGGGAAAGCCAATGATCAAGGAAGAAATATTTAACTCTGAGATAGAATATTCAGAGTAGAAGCCAGACCGTTTTTAATGAGGAATTTCAGAGTTGTCTCAATCTCTGCTCTTGTGATAAACAAACTATTTAGGCCAATAATCCGCCCTGCATGTATACGTGCTTTGACGGAAATAGACAAAATGCGCTTTGACCAAAAACGCATCAAAAACTACAAATATAAATGTAAATGTCTGAAAAAGACATGATGGGAAGTGAAAAATGAACACTGGCTACGTTTTTACAACAATGGCAAACAGACTTTTCTAGCATATTCAGCAATCTAGCCATATAATGTATGTATGCCTCTTTGGAAGGTAGTAACTCTTACAACCTCTAAGTTAAGATCTTATGTTGACCCATGTTTACTTCAATAATAAAAACAGTTTTGCAATATAAATACCAACATTTTCAGAAATCCCACATAAAAGCGCAAAACAATGTTTTTGAAAATCAAATTCCCTTTTCTGATTGAGTCATGTTTAAAATCTCTTAAATAAAGTCTGGTATTTTCTGTTTAATTTTCTTTTTTTTTTTGGTCCACAATGACATCAGAGCAGGCAGCATGTGTGCTGCACAACAGGTTGAGATGACCCCACCAGATGTTTCTTCTTTATCCTCCTTTTTTCTCCCTCAAGAGAATATAGTAAAACTCAGTGCGGCAAAACACAAACACACAGGTAGGAAGCGAGTGAGCACATCAAAAAGAGCTTTGCGGCAGGTAAAGTGATCTATGCTGCCAACATGGGAGCTGGAAGACAGAGCTTTAGAAGTTTAGCATATGGCTGGATCATACGGATGAAGTCAGTTAACAGGGACGTGCATCTGTCATGCTTGTTAAGATGGAGACTCCAGTGCATTTGACAATATTGGACACCAAGAAGCAGTTAGAAAGGTTTATTTGAAAACGTGTTCATTATTCTTCTCGGAATAAGGCAGAAGTCCAGGTCAAACACTGGGAGGAAAAGTGAGAGGTTAATCGTGACCTGAGACGTTTTTGAAGGTTGAAAAAAGTAATATGGAAGGAGAGTAGATTTCTTACTGTGGGAAGAGGAGATAGTGTTTCAGGAGGAGGTGAGTATATATGAGTGGCCACGACAA